GGAGGGGGTAAGTGCACCAATAGTCGATTTTTTATACTTCTATTTAAACTATAGTCGAAATTCATAGTTTTTTTGTAATCGTGATTTGATAATATGTCAACTTGAATACTATTAGTGGATGAAATGATTTCTTCCTTCTTTTGAATTCCAAATAATTCGATTAGAGGTTAGTACATTGAGATTTAAGATAATTCTTCATTTTGCTCTTCATTACTAATTTTATAGCTTTCGTGGTAGCTTCAACAAGTCGTTCAAGTCTGGACAACGATATCATATCACCATTGGAGATGAGCGGGTGGTTGAGTGTTATCTTAAGCTGATTTCGGCTTTGAATGTTCCATTTTTTGTTAGAGAAATCTGTAGTTTTTGTCCGTTGGTGTTTTCGGAGTTTGCTAAGCTAATCACTTTTAAAATTAACTTAAACTTACAAATTTAAATTTTCAAAGTATTGTTGGTTAAAGTTAATCTTAGACATATATAAAGTTATATTACTAATGTTAAGCGTGTATCCCTTAGGTCATTATAAAGAGGTATCAAAGAAAAATTTTAAAAATGAAATTTTCTCTTTTTATGAAGCTTTATGATGTCTCGTAGAATTTCAAAAAAATAATGAAGATAGTATAATTAGGTAAATAAATTTTCAAAATCACATCGTAATACACTTTGTAATTGTGTGCACGTTGGAGTGTCAATTTGTATGTGTATAGTTTTTGTTTATTCATCGTAATAAGCTCATTTAATTTCAATCTCAAAATTATTTATTGCTTATATTATACACCAGGATGAGTGAAGGAAACGAAAGGCATTATTATAAGAATAAAAGTTTTAAAAAATAAAATCATATGATAAATTACATTTTATAGATAAATTTCAGTTAACGTCACTATATAATTAAAGCAATAGTATTGAAAGTATACGATAGCTTAAGTGATTCATATGTGCCACAAAAAACAAGAATTATCAAAATGAAAGCAAACAAATTAGGGAAAAGGCCAAAGGGTGAGGAACTACAGCATATGTGATTGATTTAAATTGTGGCGGAATAATTGCGATCCTTTCACTCAAAATAAAAAAATCTCAATTTTAATACACTAAATATCAAATAATTATATGGAGAGCGTTATTCCTAGAATGAATCTTGTGATATATAATTTGAATTTAGTCGGACTTCAAATCGAATACGAGACAGTAATTTAGGAAAATATACTTAAATAAATAGAATATGTCAATCTGATAAGTACTAGTTAGACAACTGGCAAACATGAGTCTTTATCATCTTTTGGCCACCAAAAAAGATCATTTATGCAAATTATTACTTCTCACTCTGATATTGACAAAAAATCACAAAGCAACCATAAATTTTACAGTAGAAAGATAAAGAGGAACCCCCTTTGCCTTGCATCTCAATTTTCATCAATTTTTTCTGTCTAAATTCAAAAGGTTAATTTTTTCTTCTTATTATTTTACTTTACCTGTTAAGAAATTCCATGTTTATATTTTGATTCCTTTTGAAATCTGCAATTACTAAATTCATTTGTAATAATTAGTGATTTTGATCATCTGTTGAATTCTTGATTTAATCTGTCTAATGATATAATGATATACAAGTATAAAGTTTGTGTTTTTGAATGTACTCTTTTTATGATTTGCCAGTTTTGCTGATTTTGTCAGTTTTGCTAAGTTTTCAAGATATATTACTGTAGCAGATTACTGAGAACCAAATTGACTTGAAGATTGGCTGATAAAAAAGAAGTATAAAGATTGTGTCTTTGAATGTGCCCTTCTCTTGATTTTTCACCGTTTAAATAAGCTCTCGAAAATATTTTCCAGTATCAGTTTACTCGGAGTTCTTTGATATGCGTTACTTGAGCCGGGGGTTTTTCAGGAATAGAATCGCTATCTTTGTGAGGTAGGGGTGAGGTCAATGCACACTCTACCTTCCCAGATCCACATGTGGATTTCACTGGGTATGTTGTTGTTGTTATCAGTTTACTGGGAACCAAATCGACCTGAAATACGAGTATTAAGATTGTCTGATAATTGAAGAAATAAGTATAAAGATTGCGTCTTTAAATGTGCCCTTTTTCTGATTTTACAAGTATAAAGATAGTTACAAAAGATTGACTTGAAATACAAGTATAAAGATAGTGTCTTTAAATATGCCTTTTTCTGATTTTAATCGTTTATCTAAGGCCTAAGATCTCCAAGATATTTTCCAGTATTGGTTTACTCAGAGAACCAAATTGACCTGAAATATAAGGATAAAGATTGTCTGATAGAAAAAGAGAATAAAGATTGTGTTTTTAAATGCGCCTTTTTTTTTCTTCTGATTTTCACCGTTTAGCTGAGCTCTGCAAGATATTCTCTAGTATAGGTTTACTCGGAACCAAATTGACCTGAGTAGAGTGGAATGTATGCAGATGATTCATATAGCTGATTCCAAATAATTTGGGAATGAACCATAATTAACTGATTAATGTATTGCTTGGATTTACTTGTTACCGTTTGACAATTTTGTTGTAAATTAATTCTACCAATAATGGTTTTCTAGTAGGTGTTTTCTGTTGACTGGACATTGTTCGACTTAAAACTCACTTAAGCTACATAACCTGGATCTTGATCATCGTGTTTTATATCATTGCCAGTGAAACCTGCAGTGAGTGAAAAGAAATTTTGGAATCACATCAATCAAGTTCAATTTTGTTAACTATCACCAACTATTTAATGATGAAAGTGTAAGATATAATATGTTCTTCCCTTATTTATTTTGTAACTAATCAACAAGTAGGCATAAGCTATGGGGCACTCGAATCATTTTATATTCCTTCTATTTGGGGCTGGGTATTTACTTGGAGGTGTTAGCTTGCTATGATCTATAAGCAATAGATACTTAAAGAAGGAAACGTACGCCCTTTTAACATCTTTTTTAGTTATCATTTTGAGAACTTCGAAGAAAAGCGAACCATTGTGCTATTCTTTAGGCTGAGCGACAAGAGTAAATGTGTCTATTGCAAATGAAACTCCAATTTTTTGTGATGATGTAGCAGAATTTCAAATTGCACAAGAAGAGGATAGAATCATAGAGATATTTTATATAACTTTTTGGTGAAATGTTTTGCGTTGACAGACAGAATTAGAGGGTATTTTCTCTTGATTTGTTTATTATTGAGGGGAGGGATGATTCTTAAGTGTGTATTGACGTTGGTTCCTCCTTTTTAGGTGTATAGCTCCAAAGTTGGTAACTATCAAAAAACATTGGCGTTTTACATTCACATTGGCAAAATAGCAAAGAATGGTCGCGAGGTTTGTTCAATTTTTATGTTTGGCTGTTTTGAATAACTTCTTTTTTCTTCCTTATGCATAAAAGACCAAGTAAATTGGCCTCTTCACTCCCTCGTACAAACCTGTTTTTTCGGTTGAACAGCTATGGAGAGCTTTGAAGTAGGGGAGACACCATGTCGTATTGCTTTGAGGGGATCAAGCATTTAGGTGCTTCCCTGTCGAAGTGTTGTGAAAGGCAATCAACGGGCCTTGAGGATCCTGAGATTCTTGCACGAGAAACAGTTTGTACGCTATCTATCTGGCCACATCTATCCATATATTTATTTGCTATTTGTACAACATTGAATGAAATCATGGAGGATGAAACAAAAGAGATTTTATCTACCTCTAGGTTTGTCTTATATAAAGATTGCCTCATCAGGAAAATATGATTTTCATTTTGAAGATCAATACAATTTTAACTTTCTCTATTTCACAATTCGTTATGTTTTGTTTTCTTTCAATGTTCGGAAATGCCAATGTTGTCAAAGATGAAAAAAGGAACATAGAAAAGTAGCTAGTGCAAATTGTAAATAAAGTGTGCGCTTCAATGAAGAAAGGATTGAAAGAATGGCAATTAAATGAAATATATAAAACCCATGTGAATCAAATATTTGAAAAGTTATAGTTTTCAGTTTAGAATTCAGATGAGTGACCAATCTTTCGTTTTACAGTTCTAAAATATTTCTTGTTTGAAGCACCTTAACGCTTTG